AAAAAAAAAAAAAAAGAAATCTCATTCCATCATATTAATCCAAAATTAAACTGTTTCAAATTTTATAAAGAAAACTCTTTTAATATTTATTTTTTTTATTTGCAAGATTTAAACTTAAGATTTTATTTGTAATTGATCTCTTTCTTTTTCTATTCAAACCAACAGGTCATTGAATTTAAATTTTTTTTTTTAACATTTGGTTTAGATGCTATAATAACTAATTATTTCTATTTTTAAGCCAACAGGCTGTTAGTCTGAGTAGAAAAGAATTAAATTCCCCTTAAATAAGATTTTGAGTTTGATTCTTGTGAAAGGAGAAATAGACACTGGAAAAACTTTTCCCTTATAGAATTCGACGCAATTTAATTCGATTCTAAATTAATCAGAACTCAACATGGCTTCCAAATATAATTAAAAAAATTCATATTTTAAATGGTTAGTCAAGAAAATGGAAGAGTTTTGGGGAGGGGGCTATTGAGTTGTGGATACTTCAACTAGACCCAGAAGGTTATGCTAGATTACATTTAGGTCCAAAATGTTATGCTCTAGATTGTATTTTAATTTCACGTCAAAAAAGAAGGGTAATAATTTAGTCCCTAACAAGTTGAAGGACTGAAGGATGAGGGGAACCAGTTAGGAATTGCTAGATTCAATGAAATCATTTTGTTAGAAATATGAAATCTCTAAATGACATTGGAAGTTTGGAATTGAATTTTTAACATTTTATTAAGTTCGACTTTTTATATAATTATCAATTAAATAGGTTACGATTTTAGACTTCTTGGTTTTGAACATATTATATTTGGCTGGATATCCTTCTATAAATAGTAAAAAGTTATGACTTGTGATCAAATTTTAGAGATAAATGAAAAAGTAGGGGTCTACTTACATACTAAGTTTTACACATTATATTTATACAAAATATTAATTATTCATCTCTTAGTTTTCAATGGTTGAGATTTATTTATATTTATTAAAAATAAATATATTCTTTTATCTAAAATATTGTGATAAATTTTAATTAAAGGTAGAGAAAGGAATAATTGAGATTTTATAAAAATATAATGTATAAAACTCGTTTATAAATGAATTCTGCCTCTAAATGAAGTATTGAATAAGTCAATATATAATCTAAAAAATTAACATTTTTATTATGTTGGATTTCCTTCTATAAATAGTCAAAATGTTACTATTTAGAGCAAGATAATAGAGATGAATGACATATATATATATATATATATGTATGTATATATATTCTTAGATTCTACGATAAGAGATAACCCTCTTTTATTCTTAATTAGTTCCATTCATATATCGTATAACTTGAATTCAATATTTTTTATTTTTATTAAAAAAAAATTATCACGAAACTTAAAGGTCATTTACAAATGACATATTAGTAGATTTGAGATAATCAAGTTAAATTTTCTCCTGCAAATGGCTGATTAGTTGGAGGGATTTTATTAAGATTAATTTAATTCCTTAGAGACTAAATTGATATACCATTTTGTTCAATACCAAAATGTAATCAAACATTTTCTTTGGGAATTAATTAATGGATACACATTTTTGTTTAGGGACCAAATTGTCATTCAGGGTATTCCTTGGAGACTGTAGAGTACTTAATCCATTTACAAAGTGTTAGCTACAAATTACTTCTCCTCCTCCTCCTCCTCCTTGTTGTATAGGAGGTGTTTGGTTTGGGAAAATTTCCTCATTTATTTACCTAGAGATTTTAAGTTTATTTTGATATTTATTAAAATTAATATCAATAAAAAATAAAACTAACATTTCACTAAATGAATAAGAAATCACAACCATAAATCAAGTAAGATATAATGTGAATTCTACTTATATCCTATCTATCAATTGTAATTAATATCTTGATATTTTTATATCATAATATTCTTATACATTTTTTTCTCAATTTTGTCTTTCATCACAACTGTAAATGCAAAAAATAAAAGTAAAAATCTCCCAAATTTTGGAGAGGTAAAACACTCCCACAACTTTTCCTTATGGGAAATCCACTTACAAGTGTACCTTAAAAAAATGTAGGACTGTTTGAATTAGTTATTCAAAAAGAGTTGATAAATGATGGTCAATGTAAAAAAAATAGATATGTGATATTTTCTATTAGATAAATCAAATATAATTATAATATCAACTCCTCACTAATAGTATATTTAGTTTGAGAGAATGGGAAAAATCTTTTACTTGATTGCAAAAAAAAAAAAAAAAAATTGACAGGGAGGGGAGAGGATGGAAGTCATTTACATTAATTTTTTTAAAAAAAACTTATGTATTGAAATAAAGAGAGGAAAAGAGAAGAGAAAGGAGATAAATAATATGATATCGTATCATTCCTTTGACCTTTTTTTTTAATTTCCATTAAATCAAATATATTATAAATATAACAAAACAAAATAAATAATTTGAATAAAACTTTCCTACAAAATTATAAATAAAAAATGTTATGTGTACACTCAGTGGCAATTCAAATGCACAAGCTCTCTTCTAGTTAGGATCCCAGTGCAACTTGCAATCGCTAGTACTCTTCAACTACAAATTTTAGCAAAACATACCAAAATCAAAATACTCAAATCCACCCTCAAAGAATAGCGGTAAGAACGAATCAATCCTCAAATAAAAAACAGGGACAAATCTATTTACAAAGTTTTCGATTTAAACAAATCACTCTAAATTTAATATGTAGCGTCATCTGACATCAACAATTCATTATTAGCGACATAACAAATAAATAAATTGCTGATATCAGATAACATCACATGTTAAATTTAAAATGATTTATCCGAATAAAAAATTTTGAGTGGATCTATTTTCATTTTTTGTTCAAAAATTGATCTGTTCCTACCACTATACTATGGATTTGTCCCTATAACTATACTTTGAGGGTGGATTTGAGGATTCGCATATTCAGAAACCTTTCTAGGCAAAAACTTTCTTCAAAACAAACACTCATTTGACATACCAGAAAACGTTATCCCCTCCTCTCAGGTTATTCACCATCCCCATCTTACATCAAAACATTCATTTCTTGTATTAATGCGAAAATTTGATTAATACGCTTATATATTTACATTATTGAGCACGATAAAATGTTTTCTTCACTAATTATTTGATTAGGATAAACATGCTTCGACGAATATTGGGGAGGGTAATGATAGTGAACCGTCTTCTTGTCTTCCTTGCCCCTTTCTTTTGCTTTTCCTTTTACATGCTCTGATTCTTGCTTCGTATTAACAATCTCCGCATGTTTTCCCATCCGTTTGGCAATCATCTCAACAAGTTTTTGTGGATCGAAAATTCCCCTAACAATCACAATAGACTTTTCCATATCTACTTGAACGTTTAAAATTCCTATAGAAAAAGCCAGAGAAATTTAAATTTATTAATTAATATATCTAAAAATTTAAATTATATAAAATGTAGTAGTAGACGAGAGTTATAGAGGAGAAAAGCTTCCATAAGAAGATTTATCAAATTGATAAAAACTTAAAGTCCTCTAAGGATGTTTGAATCGTTAGAATATTATCACATATAAAAAAGAATTAATAAAAATTTAAGAGTTTAAGTTAATAGTCTAATATTTGAATATTCAAATAATTTGTGGAAATAAGAACTATCAACATTGTATGGTAAATCATTAAATATATTTAAAAAACTTTTAAAAAGAATAATCTATTGAAAAAAATTGTTTAAAAAATAGAAATAGAAGAGTAATTACTTCCTAATCTTTCTATATTTTGTTTGATATCATTAGCACATCCTTCACAGTGTATGAACATTTTGAATACTGCTTGTTTCACAGCCTGCAAAACATTAAAAAAAAAAAAAGGAAAAAAAAAGTTGAAATGCAGAGAATAACTCAAGCATTTTTTTTTTTTTTGAATTTACAATAAGAAAAGAATTTTAGAAATTAATTACTTCTTCTTTCTTTTCCGGTTCTTTTTTCCCGTCTACTTTAGTGTTCGGGTTGGGTTTGGGACTAATAAGCTCCACGTTTCTACTATACTTCTTTCGAATCCTTTCCAAAACCTTTAACGGATCAGCTTTCGATCCTTTCACGATAACCCTGTTATTCGCCATATCAATGTTAACTTCTTCAACACCTGCTCGTGAAAATTACATAAAAAATATAAAAACTTTTTTTTTGATATAACTGAAACTTTTGTATGTTTGTATGGAAAGAAATTGCTCTTGAAATGCGTAAAATTAATTCGGAGATATGTTACCTTCTAAGCATTTGAGACAATTGGAGACCTTGGCGGAGCATCCTTCACAATGCACATAAACTTCTAAAACAATCGTATCTTTCTTGGAATTTTCTTCTTTCTCTTCATTGCTCGTCTCTTTCTTCTTCGCATCTACTCTCGGCTCTACACCTCCTTGGTTGTTTTGTTCCACAATTCTGCCATTTTTCTTCATATTTCATAACAAAATTTCACTTCAATTTCTTAGGAAACGTAAACAAAAAAAAAAAACAAAAAAAAACCACACACACACACAATTCACAAACATGCTATGAACAATGAAAGTATGAAAAACTACCTTTCCCACCTTTCCCATTGCTTCTCTAGCAACACCACCGGATTAGGAATGGTCTGAAATGAATGGCGGGGAAGCTTTAAGTAGCATTCCAGCGGCTCTAAGGACTCTTTCTTCCCTTCCTTCTAGGGAAAGAAATAATTTTCAATTTAATTCACATAAATTAAATTATGAATGCATGTGATAATTCCAACCGTTTGATTAACCATAGAGGGTAACAGAACAGAAAAAATATATATCAATTAAAAGAAAAGAGTAGTTAAAAGGCAGGTTAGTTAATGTAATTTACTTGTAGGATAATTATTGGTCAATGAATTCATGAAAGGAACGTTTGGTAACTGAATAATCATGTCTGCACAGTAAGATCGGCGTCCCATATTTGGAGAATGTATATTTTATAGATAATTCGACATTAATTTCTTAGTAACGCTATAGATAGTTTGTGAAAACCAGACTAAAGAGTTAAACCGAGTATGGTGCGCGAAATCTAACCCATAATATCACTTGGCCGTTAGACAAAAATGAAAATGATTAAGATTATTTTGTTTGTTGCACAAATTCTGAATAGAGACTATTATTCTTAAAAGCCTTAATTACCTTGAAATGGAACTAATATAAATCACTGCATTTATGCTTAACACACAATAACACTAAAGATTATTGAACAATTTCTGCCTTGTTGTGTATTTACTTAACAGACAGTTTGATAAGGAGTTGGGACCAAAAGCAGGGGATCTTTCCTCTTCACAGACAGACCAGGAGCCTCAGTCATGTCCATATCCTCTGGCTTCAACCCATTAGGAAGCTGCCAGTTAAAATGGAACAACATTTGTGCAAGTGGGATTTCCTTATTAGGTTCTCCAAACAAAAGGCCTGGACAGATTCTCCTTCCAGCACCAAATGGAATGCACTTGAAATTTGCCCCTGAGTAATCAATTGTGTTATTCAGGAACCATTCAGGATGGATTTTGTCCGCTTCAGTCCAGTAACTAGAATCTCTTTCGAGCACCCAAGTATTGACAATGTGTGATGGCCAAATCTCAAGTCAAAATAGAAATGTGAGTGTAATGGAAAGTGTAGAGACCAACCATTACTAACAACTTAAACTTGAGTTTTTGAGGAGTCATGGACTTTGGCCCAAAGACTTTATAGTTATAACTCTTGTTATTTTGTATCCATTAATCGCATAATCATTACTACATTCTCTAGGAGCCAACAGAGGCAAAGGAGGGTGAAGTCTTGAGGTTTCTTTGATTACACACTTTAAGTGCTTTAGTTCCTCAAGACCAGATTCACTCACCTTCCCTTTTCCTTGGAACACTCTTCTTACCTCTGCAAGCTGTTGCAAGTTTCCAATTAGAGGCAACTGGCATGCCCCTGGTGGCAGCTTCATGGCTCTTGATCGAGTTGAAGTTCTAAGTGCCAAGAAAACAAAAGAAAAAGGATGAATAGGATCCTAGGGTCTGTGACATTGATCCCTAAATGATAGAGAAGAGGGGATTTGAACTCTGAAGGGAAAGCAATGAACATAAAAGAGAAACAAGGCAAGAAGGATTCGGAAGGAAAAGAAATGGAGCTTCATCTGGTTTACTCGTTTCTTCCATAAATTCACCTATTTATAGGATTACGGATCAATGGCTTTATGTATTGTTGAAGTTTTTTCACAATGTTTTGAAGCATCTTGGCACGTATATATTGTTGAATTCCTTTCTCACAAATGCTGAATTGTTCTTTCATTGATTTATAGGAATCTGAATTATTGGCTTTATATTATAAACTTTAATGTTCATGTTCAAGCAAGACAAAGG